CCCCAAAACCCCAAAACCCCAAAACCCCAAAACCCCATAAATAAGCGAAAGTATTGAGATTATTATTTAACACTATATGTTCTTATCTGAAGAAGAAAAAGAGCCTATGCAAATGTTTGGGCTTGGTAGTATATTTAACCACTCAGATGAAGTTTTGATTCCTGAAGATCCCTTGATTGCTCAGGATCTTTGTAGCAAAAATTGAGATTCTTTTTCTGCAAATTTGAAAGAACTAGAACAATCATTTTCCTCCTCCAAAGATGAAAAATCGAACATAAAAGTGTCGATAAAAGAAAAATAGAGAAAAAGGTAGGATACGATCCAAAATTTCTCGTGAGAGAAAGAAGCAATATATCCAAGAACTCGAAATAAAAGTTAATAAACTCACTAAGGAAAACCAGAGACTGGTGGCACTTCTCATGCAACAGAAAAGTAATACTAAACCTGAATCAGGGCCTGACAGAATACTCACAGACATTCAAATTGAGCTGAAGAAAAATATTGACCAATTATCTAATTTAGACACAGACGACTCTAAAAATGAAACTCATCCGACAATTAATGGCTTTTGCAGGCAACAAGGAAATGATTTAAGAAAGAAATTTGCTTGTTTTCTAGATCAAACTTTTAAACTAATTATCAACCATCCATATCCCGCTCCAAGATTCAAATATTGGAAAGGGTGGACTAAAGAGTATTCTACAGACTATGAAACCATTAAAAAGGTAAACCAATGAAAATCCACCTCATTATATTTAGTTAAACAGGTGTTCCAAGTATAAGGTCCCTGAGTTCATCCAGAAGCATAATATTTCTGAGCTAGACCAATTCGTAGCATCTTTAAAGCCAAGTCAAAGGCAGTTTAAATACTTGAAACTTGTATTGAAGAAAGAGTTCCAGGTCAAGCAAAAGATCTCGGAAGTTATTAACATGCTTTTAAGAGCCAAGAAGTTGATCCACGAAGCTAATTTTGACCTTCTCTGTTGATCTTGATTGATATTCAGATCGAACATATTCACAGACAAGGTGCTAATGCAGTCGAGGTTTGCTGAGAACTTTCTCGTCGAGGAAAATGCCTTTGAGAACATCTGGAACATAAAAACAGTCCCCAAAATCTACAAGGTAGATCTTCGCAAGGATGAGTACCTTGGCAAACTTGCTAAAAATCAGTTGTCAAAGTCTGACTACAGCGTTGAATACAACTTCCAGGATTTTATTAGAGCTGAATAGGGGTTTCTCGATATAATATTTTTCAATATTCGTCACAATGCAGGGGTTTTGGGGTTTTGGGGTTTTGGGG